GAATTAAACTTTGTTGGTCTTAAAGGTGCCCCTGGACTCAAACTTTGTTCGATCAGAATACAGTAATACAAATAAGGCAGGGTTCAGATCCAAATATGCATTTAGTTATTTGGTGCAAAAAAAAATGTATTTCAAGTTGGAACAGGGATGCCGTGATGAGGCAGAGTTGGATCATCGTTCCATCCAGAGACATCTGCCCATCCGCAAAGGTTGTTATGTGACCCTGAGTCAGTCATTAACCCACAGGGTTTCTGCAAGGAGAAATGGAGGAGAGAACGCTGCATTAAAGTTGCCAAGAGGAGAGTTGCCAACTCCAGGCTGGGGGATTTCTGCAGGTTTGGGGGTGGAGCCTGGGGAAGGTGGGATTTGGGGAGGGACCTCAGCATGGCGTAATGCCAGAGAGTCCACCCTCCAAAGCAGCCATTTCCTCCAGGGGAGCTGATCTCTGTAGTCTGGAGATCAACTGTAATTCTGGGAGATCTCCAGGTCCCACCTGGAGGTTGGTGGCCCAAACTAAAAGGCCTAGAGACCGAACTGCTAACAGTCCCAGACAAAAATGCCCTGTACCTTTAATAAAGGCTTGATGTATGAAAATGGGCAGCTGGAAACAACAACACCACAGTGTGCCATCAAATTGCAATTGAGTAATGGGAACCCCAGTAGTCATGTATAGCTGCGAGAGTTGGACTATAAGGAAGGCCGAGCGCCGAAGAATAGATTCTTTTGAACTATGGTGCTGGAGAAGACTCTTGAGAGTCCCGTGGACTGCAAGAAGATCAAATCAGTCAATCCTAAAAGAAATCAACCCTGACTGTTCCCTGGAAGGCCAGATAATGAAACTGAAGCTCAAAGACTTTGGCCACCAAATGAGAAGGGAGCACTCACTGGAGAAGACCCTGATGCTGGGGAAGATTGAAGGTCAAAGAAGACGGGGATGGCAAAGGATGAGATGGTTAGACAGTGTCATAGATGCAACGAACATGAAATTGAGCAAACTTCAGAGGACGGCGGAAGACCGGAAAGCCTGGCGTGATCTGGTCCATGGGGCCGCGAAGAGTCGGACTCGACTGTGCGACTGAACAAATGGGAACCCCACAACCACGGAGCTTTTAAGGTAAGAGATGAGTAGCAGTGCTTTGCCACTCTCCTTCCCCTGCTTAGAAACCCTGTTTTTCCTTGGCAGTCTCCAGCCCAAGTGCAAACTGAAGCCAACAGTGCTTGGCTTTCCAGCTTTTGCAAGGATCGGGCTAGTGGCTGCCGTCTCCTGGTTGGGAAATACCAGGTGGTTTTGTGGGCGGAGCCTGGGGCGGGGCGGGATATCAGCAGGGTATATTGCCCTAGAGCCCACCCTCCAAAGCAGCCATTTTCTCCAGGGGGATTATCTCTGTCACCTGCAGTTCACTTGCAATTCTGGGAGGTCTCCAGGCTGCATCTGGAGGTTGGCAACCATAGTTAGTTGGGACAATTGACACCACTAAGGTGAAGACCATCGTATTATTAAAGCTTCTCTTAAAGGGTCATTCTTGTCCTGCCAACCATGACCTGAACTCTTTGGTGGAACTGCAGGCACAATCAAGATAGAAAGTTGCACTTGTTTGAACTGATGTACACCGTGCATCTAGTTTCAGAGGGTAGTTCTATTGATTTGCAGTGGAAGAACTAGATGTGAGTCCAGTAGCACCTTTTTGTTGTTGTTCAGTCACACAGCCAAGTCCAACTCTTCGCGACCCCATGGACCAGCTCCCGCCAGGCCCTCCTGTCTTCCGCCGTCCTCCGGAGTTTGCTCAATTTCATGTTCGTTGCAGCGATGACACTGTCTAACCATCTCATCCTTTGCCGTCCCCGTCTTCTTTGACCTTCAGTCTTTCCCAGCATCAGGGTCTTCTCCAGTGAGTGCTCCCTTCTCATTTGGTGGCCAAAGTATTTGAGCTTCAGCTTCAGGATCTGGCCTTCCAGGGAACAGTCAGGGTTGGTTTCTTTTAGGATTGACTGATTTGATCTTCTTGCAGTCCAAGGGACTCTCAAGAGTCTTCTCCAGCACCATGATTCAAAAGCATCTATTCTTCGGCGCTTGACCTTCCTTATGGTCCAGCCCTCGCAGCCATACATTACTACCGGGAATACCATTGCTTGACCATACAGACTTTTGAGTAGCACCTTAGAGACCAGCAAGACTTTCAGGGTAAAAGATTTGGAGAGTTAAAGCTCCCTTGGTCAGACCTGGGAGCTTTATCAAGATGGGTAGCCATGTTAGCCTGTCTGTAGCAGTGGAAAGTTCCAGCCGTGTTGGTCTGAGGCAGAACAAATTTGGAGTCCCGTGGCACCTTTAAGACCAACAAAGTTTTATTCAAGGTGTGAGCTTTCATGTGCAGGCACACTTTTTCAAATAGCACCTTAAAGGCTGACACATTTTGCGGCAGGGGAGGAGCTTTCCATGAGTCACAGCTCACTTCTTCAGATGGATCAAGATGGGCTGCAGTGTTAGTTTGTCTGTAGCAGTAGAAGTTAGGAGCTGCGGTGGCTCAAGTGGTTAAGACGCTGAACTGCAGGCTGTGGAAGGTCGGTACTTCAGCAGTTCGAGACCAGACTTGCCGCATGACGGAGTGAGCTCCCGTCTCTAGTTCCAGCTCCTGCCAACCTAGCAGTTCAAAAGCAAGAAATTGCAAGTAGATAAATAGGGACCACTTCGGTAGGAAGGGAACAGCGTTCCATGCACCTTGGTGTTAGTCATGCTGGCCACATGACCATGGAAACGTCTTCGGACAGTGCTGGCTCTTCAGCTTTGAAACGGAGATGAGCATCGCAACCCTAGAGTCAGATTCGACTGGCTTTCGAGCAAGGGAACCTTTACCTTTTTAGCAGTAGAAAAGAGCAAGAGTCCAGGAGCACCTTAAAGACATTTGTGGCAGGGGAGGATCTTTCCGTGAGTCACAGCTCACTTCTTCAGATAGCTCAAGAGAGGTCACCGTGTTAGTCTGTCTGTATCAGTGGAAAAGAGCAAGAATCCAGCAACACCTTAAAAACGAACAACATTTGTGGCAGGGGATGAGCTTTCCCTTAGTCACTCGCTTCTTCAGATAGATTGTTATGTACATGGACCGCCACCAGGGGTCCATGGCTAAAGCAGGAGCTTGGTCCCCAAACACAAAGGGGACATCGGATCCTAGTCCACCTCGAGTCCACCAATAGCACCCTTGGCGGGAAATTCAAACCCTCCTATGGGGACAGAGGTGTGCCGGGTGGAGTGTATATCGTTGGCCTTGCAGGGCCATTTTTCCTTGTGTTGTGAAGTACAGTAAACGCGTCTGAACGCATGTCGTAGTCCGAGTCCTCCATGCGTCGAACCCAGCACTTTTCGTAGATCAAGATGAGTCACCATATTAGCCTGTCTGTAACAGTAAAACAGAGCAAGAGTCCAGCAGCACCTTAAAGACTAACAAAATTCGTGGCAGGAGATGAGCTTTCGTGAGTCACGGCTCACGGCTCACAAAAGCTCACACCTTGCCACAAGTTTTGTTCGTCTTTAAGGTTGAAAAGTACGCAGGCGGAGAGTGATTTCAGCAAAGCGTACTTTATTCAATCAGGAACAAGACGACTTTGGCCGGCTCGCAGGCCGGCTTATATCCCCTGAGAAACCGCCACCCAAAACACACCCCTACTTCCCTATAGGTTATTTACAGTGGCTGAGAGTCCCATAGGCTCTCGGCTGGGAACCTAGCCCCCTGATTGGAGCGGGCTAGGATCCGCATAGTCCATTGTCTCTTGAAGCGAAGCTCGGCATTTGTCTCTGGACTTGTCTGGACTGGATACATTACAAAGGTACTCCTGGACTCTCCGGCTATTCTAGCTGAAGAAGTAAGCAGTGACTCACAGAAAGCTCACACCTTGCCACAAGTTTTGTTCGTCTTTAAGGTGCTCCTGGACTCTCAGGCTATTCTAGCTGAAGAAGTGAGCAGTGACTCACAGAAAGCTCATTTGTTCCTGTGTTATGCCAATAAAGGTCTATGTATATGTAGGAGTTGCGGTGGCTCAAGTGGTTAAGACGCTGAACTGCAGGCTGTGGAAGGTCGGTAGTTCAGCAGTTCGAGACCCGGGTGCCGCATGACGGAGTGAGCTCCTGTTCCAGCTCCTAGTTCCAGCTCCTGCCAACCTAGCAGTTTGAAAGCAAGAAATTGCAAGTACGTAGATAAATAGGTACCACTTCGGTGGGAAGGGAACAGCGTTCCGTGCGCCTTGGTGTTTAGTCATGCCGGCCACATGACCACGGAAACGTCTTCGGACAGCGCTGGCTCTTCGGTTTTGAAACGGAGATGAGCACCGCAACCTCGACTGGCTTTCGAGCAAGGGAACATTTACCTTTATATGTATGAAAGCTCACACCTTGCCACAAGTTTTGTTCCTCTTTAAGGTGCTCCTGGACTCTCTGCCTATTCTAGCTGAAGAAGTGAGCAGTGACTCACAGAAAGCTCACACCTTGCCACAAGTTTTGTTCGTCTTTAAGGTGCTCCCGGGACCAAGTGAGCTGTGACTCACAGACAACTCCTCCCCTGCCACAAGTTTTGTCAGTCTTTAAGGTGCTCCTGGACTCTCGCTCTTTCCTGCCGCTACAGACAGACAAACATCCCATCTTGATCAAAACATCTACTTGTTTGCTCCTTCTCTCAGGTATACCTTGCCACGCCTCTGAAGCCTCTCTGAATTGGCACCCGGCGATCCAAAGGCCGGGCCCGGCGCTCTCAAGAAGACTTTACATTTTTATCTTTAAACGATTATTGCGCCAAAGCCGAGCAAACGAGGCTGGGAAGGGGAAACCGAGCAGCCTCTTGCTCACGGGGAAGGGGAGGGGGGCGTGGCGGGAAAGGAAGAGGTGCGGCCGCCGAGGAGGGGAGTCCCGTGGTGGGCGGAGACTGAGAGCCATAGGCGCGGGGGGGGGGGAGAGGGGGCGTGGCCGGGGCGCCTATAAAAGCCTCCTCCCCGAGCGGCGCGCGTTCGGATGTCAACAAAGCTCCGCGTGGTCCGCTTTGGTGCGTAGCTCGGGGCGCGCGGGCGGGCAGGGTGACCGTTGCTGCGAGGGGGCGTGTGAGGGGCGCGCGAGGGGCAGGTAGGGGCGGGGTCTCTGGGTTTGCCCTCCCGGTCCGACGGGGCCCCCCCTGGTTTTTTGGCGGCGACTCCTTCAGGTAAGAGGAAGCGTCGCCCGACTCCTTGGAAACTCCGGGGTTTCTTCTTTGTCCCTTTCGGAAGCCAGTCGAGTCCGACTCTAGGGTTGCGGTGCTCATCTCCGTTTCCAAGCCGAAGAGCCGGCGCTGTCCGAAGACGTTTCCGTGGTCATGTGGCCGGCCTGACTAAACACCGAGGCACGCTGTTCCCTTCCCACCGAAGTGGTACCTATTCATCCACTTGCAATTTCTTGCTTTCGAACTGCTAGGTTGGCAGGATTTGTAGGATTACAGGATGCCTTTTTAGAGGAAATGTCCTTGGGGGGTTTTATTTGGTGTCTGTCCTCTTGGGCTCTTAAAAAAAAAAAAACCCTGATGCAGATGTCCTCTTTTTGGGTGGGAAGGTTAGGAACGTTCCTAATTCGTAGCATTGAGCACAGCTTTAAGAGTAGGGGGGTGATTAAAATGACACGCAGCTATCAGTTAAATTATTTATTTATTTATTTATTCAACTTTTATCCCGCCCTTCCGCCGAAGCGGCTCAGGGCGGCTCACAACATTAATAAAACCAACATATAGATATAACGTTAATCCATCAAACAACCTACATAAGTACAATAAATATAAATAAAAAAAAAAAGGTTCAGTAAATCATTATGACTGGACCTCGACCACATTGCTAACTACTTATACAAAATGCATGTCTAAATTATTATTATTATTGTTATTATTCTGTCAGAGTGATCACTGGTTTGAAGTTGGCAGTCCGGAAATGTGCCCTCTTCGTTTGCTTTTCAAAATATGGCAACCCTGTGTCTTATCCTGCTCTTCCCACCCGGCTTCTACCCTTTCAATCTTTCTCTGGACTAAGTCTTCATTTCCCCCTTTGCAATCACATTTTCCCTCGTACAGATTTATTTGCTATAACTTGTTAACGCCTGTAATGCCTTGCCTTTTTTTAAACAAGAAAATTAATTCCCACAGGGGTGGTGGTGGAAGAAACCTTGTTTTTTTAAAATTTGCTGATCAATAATTGTATAGATGAGTGCTGAAATAAGTCGAGATGGGGAGATTGGGAGCCCCTGTTCAAGTAAAGGGGTGGGGGGATTGTAGCCGTTCTTTTTAGAAAGAATTGCAGGCTGTGATGTTAGGGTTACCGTGTTTTGAAAAGCAAAAAAAAAGGACATATTTCCCAACTGACCACTTCAAACAAGTTATCACGATGGCAAATCTCATTTTAAATATTCCTACTATTTTGGTGTAGTGGTTAGGAGTGCGGATTCTAATCTGGGAGAGCTGAGTTTGATTCTCTACTCCTCCACATGCAGCTGCTGCCGTGACCCTGAGTCGGTTACAAGTCCTTTCAGAGCTGTTCTCTCACAAGCAGTCCTCAAGAGAGCTCTCTCAGCCCCACCTACCTCGCAGGTTGTCTGTTGTGAGGAGAGGAAGGGAGAAGAGATTGTAAGGCACTCTGAGACTCCTTCGGGTAGTGAAGGGTGGGGTATAAATCCAATCTCTTCTTTGTCTCTATTTAAGCTGTGATTATTGCTGCTAACAAGGAATATTCCAACCCCAAAAGAGGACATTTTCACCTGTTTTTTAAAAAACAGCCCAAAAGAGCATGAAACTCCAAAGAAAGAGGACCTGTCCTTTCAAAAGAGGACATCTGGTAACCCTGTGACATAGATATTTGTAGCTCTATAGAGGTATTGTTTGTGTGTGTATTTACGTATACAGTCCCTTTCTCTCCTGTGGGGACCCAAGGTGGCTAGCGTCATGTTCCTCTCTTCCATTTTATCGTCACAACAGCCCTGTGATGTAGGTTAGGCTGAGAGTGTGTGACTGGTTCAAGGTCACCCAGCGAGTTTCTGTGGCATGAGTGGTGATTTGAACCTGGGTCTTCCTGGTACCAGTCTGGCACTCTTAACCACTACACCGCATTGGCTCATTAAAGGGATGGGGCGGGGGCTTGTAACATTTCTCTATAAATAACTGCAGGCTGTTGCATAGATATTGGTAGCTCTGTAGAAGAACTGATTATTGGCAGGCTTAAAAATGAAGGCTGTAAGCTTCCTGTTTGGAAGTTAACATTGTTGTCAAACATCTGCAGCACTGAAGTAGCAGGGAAAGGAGTGCAGAGGTATCAGTCGTGCTGCTTCATTTGGGAGGTGGCAGGATTGATTCCTCATCTGCCCCTCTCATGCCACTTCAAGTAGGTAATAAGGTATTTTATCAGTCACACATGCACTAATGCAGTTATCTGATGTTGATTTTTGGTCTGGCAAGCTAGGAAGAATTTTAGAGGGGAGAGAAGATGGTATAATTTCTGACTCCAAATGCCAAGGGCAAACTAGTGGCATGATCCTTATGTGTTGTTTGTGAGTTGCTCAGGGGTGTCTGGCTGAACATAGGACCAAACATTGGACTGAAAGCCTCTCAAGTGCACTAGGTTATTGGGGGATAAGCTGGGCTTCGCACTATGGACATTTGTGTCGGGTGGATATGTAATAATTTGCAAGTTGTGCTGTGGGGCTTGAAAAAAAAGTGGTGTCTGTTTTTGCTGAGTCAGATGTGTTTAATTTTTTTAATGTAATTTTGAAGTGGGACCTTATCAGTTAGTGCAGGGAGAAGGGAAATGAAGTGTGTGCCTCTTGTTGGATCACTGAAGTTCCCAAAGGAAATACTTTCTGTCTTGCAGCTCACCTGCGTGTAAAGTGATTGTTGATGCTTGATTTCTGCCCTTAGCGTGTCAAACAGAGAGCAAAAACATGCTGGAATGCTAACACTTGGGAGGGGACCAGCTCAGCAAAGAAATTATTAACCCACCCCTATTTGGGTTGCAAATTCTCCAGGTCTCCACCTCGTTGGGGAAGAGAGTAGAAACAACTGGAACGCTGTAGAAAAAAGCCGAGTGGGACTGGGCTTGGAACAGGGAGGTGGATGCCTCTCTGTATAGAGGCAGCAAAGTGGGCGTAGATAGTTATTGCTAGCAAGTTGGGACGTCTTGAAACAGAACCGCTTCCTGTGGTTGCAGCAAATTTCAGTAGCCAGTTCCTGCTTGGTGAATGTGGGCTCATCTGTTGCTGTTTCAGTGTAACAGTGAATGCCTACTGTAGATGAGTGTTGGAAGAGAAGGGTGGACAATAAAGGAGTGTGCATTTCTTCTATCAATTCCTTAATTCATCCTCCTATTTCCAGTCTTCCCACTATGAAATGATGTATAGAGAAAAAGACTTGCAGTTTGCTCCGCAAGTCAGGAGTGGAATCTCCCTTATAAATAAAAGCCGAATGGTGGTGGCACTTCTCTAGAACATTCCACACGCTCCAAAATCGGTTCACTCTCTGATCTGTCATTCAGAGGGTCTCCCTATCCACTGGCTGCTTTGCCTGAGTCCTGCCTCCAACATTCTAAACATTTTGTTAATCCTCTCCCCCCCATAGCCAGTCAGAACACAGAGTTTATTTGCATATGCAGCCTCATTGGCCTCTGCCTCGGAACACAGAGGTCATTTGCATATGCGACTTGATTGGCTTTTGCCTCTAACATTCTAAACAGTTTTGCTCAGAATTACAACTGCTTTCCAGATGGCAGAGATCAGTTCCCCTGGAGAAAATGGTGGGCTCTGTATCCTTATATGCTGCTGAGGTGGCCCCTGTATGACAGCCAATGTGACGTCACAGTCAGGGCTTCAGAGCACGGGAGAGGCTGCAGGTGTGTGGGGGGTGGAAGGCTAAAGAGTGAGGGGAAAATAAAGGTAGGTTGATGGTTGGCTGGGAAGGAGATGGGGTTGCCAACTCCAGGTGGGAAATTCCTGGAGATGTGAGGGATGGAGCCTGGAGAGGGTGAGGTTTCAGGAGGCGTGGGACCTCGGATAGGTACAAAGCCATATACTCCACCTTCCAAACCAACTATTCCCTTCTGGGGAACCATCGTTGCCAATCTCCAGGTGAGGGCTGGAGATCTCTCAAAATTACAACTGTTCTTTAGGTAGCAGAGATCAGTTCCTCTGGAGAAAATGGTGGACTCAGTGTCATTATACCCTGCTGAGGTCGCCACAGCAAATTGACACTGAGTGTCCAAGGCTGGGGCACCCGCCCATAGCCTCTTTTTAGAGGCCGTTGTATTTATTTCCACAATGGGCCTTTTTCCTAGTTATAAATATTTACTTTTGAAACTTAATGTGACTTCTTGTATTGCTTTTAAAGACCTTCTTTGGATGTTGCTTGGATTTTGATTTGTATCAGCTGTTGTGATCACCAGTACAAAAGGACATTGTGGTACCTTGTGTTTGTATGTGTTTCTGCAAAAAAACAAAACATAACTGCCTCTTTGTAATTTGTAGAGCCTGTGCTTCACTAACATTTTGCTCTAGATTCCAGAACAACACAATCATATATTAGCTAGCCATGGTAGTTAAATAGAACCTCCATGTTCAGAGGCAGTGCAGTTTTGTGTAGTAGCCGCTGGAGAAGGGGGAGGGAGGAGTGATGCCATCATACCCTGCAGGTCTTAAAATTGTTTTTGTTAAACATGCGAAAAAAACTGAACTCGAATGGGAGGCATGTTCATTTGAGGACTACTGGAAATAGTAAGACTCAAGTAGCTGCATCTGAATGCACTGAAAATTCAGTTTTGTTGACTCTTGATCACTTTGTACATTGCTCGTAAGTGTATATAACTCTTCAGATCTATTAAATTGGCTAATCAGGGGCTCTCTGAAGAGAAGACTATGTTTTCAGGTCAGGTTTGGAATTAAAAAATGAGCATGAGGGCAGTGAGCTGACATGTGGCAAAGTAGTAAACAACCAGGGTGAGTGGTGGAAGTCTGCCAGCCTTGTAAGCAGTATTAGCTATTCCTAAACAGCAA